TTTAAGCCATTTTAACAAAATCTCGGCTCCGAGTCTCATTTTCTTCTCTGAAAACACTGTGTAGTGTGATTTGCGGGGCTATTTATTGACGATAAAAAGCAAAAAGCAAGAAAACACAAAATTGTGGGTTGTCTCCCACAAACGCTCATTTTAACGTCTTTAGGTCGACGACCCCATCCAAAATCAACCGGGATCCAAAAAGAAATGGCGATCATGCCACGCCTTTGTATTCTCCAAAAGTAGTCGTCCCGGTAGATTAGAGCAAAGACGGGTGTTTATTGTGTTTTTGTGCTTATTTTCGTGTGTTTTATGTGCTTGAGTTTAGTGTTTTTAGGTTCGTTTTACTGTCAACCGGTCCATTTGATTGTGTTTCGTGCATTTTTATTATCGTATTGTGTTTTTGTGGTTCGACGTACTTTTCTTGTCTTTTTTATGTTGTTTAGAGCACCCACAATGCTTTGGGTTTTTTAGAAAAAAGTTACATGCCATGTAAGGAATAGACCTAGTCTATAAAAAAGTGTTCTCCAATGCAATTAAAAGTGGAACTAGTCTAGCTTATGTGGCAATAAAAAAATGAGACCTAGTCCACACTTGGGTCTATTTTAGACCCAAGTACAAACCCAAGCACTCATCATTTATTCCTCATTTAATTTTTCTTTTAATAAATGAAATATACTAGAACATTTTTATTGGTTGTCATTTATTCTAGACCTAGTACTTTTTGGTTTTGCATTGGATAGATTTTGGTTTTTTTAGTTTAGGTTTGTCCATGTCATTATGGACTTAAGTTTATTTATTTGCCACATATGCAAAAAGAGACCCAAAGCATTGTGGATGCTCTTAGGTCCACATTATTCGATCTTAGGAAGACAAGCCATTTTCGAGACATTTTCGAGTCGTCCGAAACATGTTCGAGCCACGCGAGCCATTTCCGAGTCATTCCGAGCATATATATTAATTGCGTGGCAATATCAATTTGAGCACTCCAAGATGAGGAGAAAGAGATTTGGGAAGCGTGGGTTAAAGTTTCAAGTCAATCGGATATGTGTGCGAGAAGTTAGGGCGAATCGAGCATCAACGGGTCATGACCGAGCCTTTTCCCGAGCGCAGCACTCCTGCGCCCCAACACAAGCAATGGCGCCCAGCCCGCGAGCTCGCCGAAACTTCCGCGAGGTCGAGAGTGCTCTCCACTCCAAGCCCGCGAGCTCGTCGAAACTTCCGCGAGGTCGAGAGTGCTCTCCACTCCAAGCCCGTGAGCTCGCCGAAACTTCCGCGAGGTCGAGAGTATCACTTGCCTTAGCCCGCGCCCATGCTTGTCCACGCACGCCCGAACGCCCGCGCTGCCCCGCGCGCTCGCTGACAGCCCCGCGAGGTCGAGAGTGCGCGCCCATGCACGCCCAGCGCCTTGCCGACTCGCGAGGTCACGAATTTCACGGAGACCTCGAGAGTGTTTTACTTAATGTGCGTGTTTTTAGTGTGTTTTTGTGGTGTAGCTATATAAAGACATTATGCTTTGTATTTTCTGGAACAACCCTCATTTTCCCAACTTTTAAGTTGGGAATTCCTCTCTATTTTCTTTTTTTTTTCTTTTTTTATATTTTGGTTTGGAGCTTATGAATCAAGTTTTCCGGTGAATTTCTGGCGACATTGTTTCGAGTAAAGTTTCGAGCTTTTGACTTCGTTTCTTCTTCCAAGTGTGTGTAAGAGTGGGTACTTAGTCTTAGGCCTCATTACTTCGTATATCTTTGTTTGCTTTCGTGAAAATTGATATTGTGCTTGTGTTGGTTGGAGTAAAAGATTGAATCTTTGGATCGAGAATGCTTGACTAAGTGTGATTAGGAGTTAAATGCTTGCTCGTTGTGTGCTAGAGCTTGGTTTAGCTTTCTAGGTTTTTAGCTAGCATGACAATGTTCGGTTATTTGCGTGTGATTGATCATGGAGACTCCGGCGAACCAAAATCTTTCTTTCCCCCTTGATTTCTCTCATCTTTTTGCGTGCTTTAATTGCTTTCAATGCCCTCAATTTCGTAGATTAGTTTAGCTTAAATCAATCCCTTTCAAGCGAGTAGAATGTGTACGACCTTCTTTTCGGTTGTGTGATTTTGACGACTAGGTAGTAAACAAAGCTCCGAAGAGCCTTTCTTTGAGAACGACCCGAGTCGGGTAGCTCGGTTACCACATGCCCAAAAATACTACAAACAAAATATCCGTTGGAATACCTTACTGTTGAATTTTTCATTATAATAAGGAACTTTGAATTCTTTCTTAAACATTAAAATTTTTATGTTGTAACGTTTGTCGTTTATTAATTGTATTTAAAATTTTTCTATAAAAAATATTAAACATGTGTACGTTTTAGTCGATATACTTTTCTTACAAATCACTCGTAATTTTATGTCAAGATTGTCTATTAATTTCTCAATTGAGTTACTTTTCCTACATATTAATAAAAATATTAATAAAAATAAGTATCACCTATTAACTTCTCAATCGAGTTACTTTTCCTACATATTAATAAAAATAAGTATTATTTTATATATGCAATATAATATTTATATTTGAAAAGTTAATAACAAATAGAAAGTTATCTAAAATTTCAATAATCATTTTTTAAAAAAAAAAAAAATCTCTAACCTACATGGATAAAAGTACAAATAACTATTGTCAATAACCTAAACTTACACCTAGAATTAGTAAGCATAAAAAAATTAACAAGCGTTTAACAATTCAACTCGTTTAACTCAATAAGTACAAGTTTAAAATTTTTATTTTATTTTTACTAATTATAAAATTTTAGTTATTACTTTTTTTCATGTTTATTAGTAAGTGCTAACTTAATTATACTGTTGTTATTGTTTATTATATTTAATTTTATCTTAATTCATATTGTTCTTTCATATGTATATACATATATATAACTTTTAGATTTGTCATAAAAATGCATAAAATTAAGTATATAACTTTTTGGGTCATATGTTTTACTATTTCCAATTATAGTTGTAAATCTCGATATTATATTATATATAATTACAATTCTCATTAATATTATACTCAAATATAAAAAAACAAATATTTCATACATTTTTTAATAAAAAATTGTTTTACTGTAATACAAATCAATAGATAGATAGATGAGTAATGGTAATGAAAAAATAAATAATTTTCAATGGATATAAGCATATCATGATTTTCTTATATTTTTAATTAACTTGACTATAATGATGGATAAAAGTACAAAACTACTTTTTGTCACCTAAAATATATATATAACTTATAACAACAAAAAATTAACAAGCGTTTAACAACTCAGCTCGTTTACCTCGATAACTACAATTTTTACAACTTTATCTTTATTTTTATTTATTATAACATTTTATTTATTACTATTTTCATTTTTATTAATAAGTGTTACAAATTAATTATATTTTTAATGTTATTTATCAAATGTAATATTTTTATTTTATATATTTTTATATTTGTTGAAAAATGCATAAGATTAAGTATAGAATTTTTTGAGTCGTATGTCTTATTATATATCAATTAATTGTACATCATAATTGTATTATATGGTATATAATTATAATTTCATAATATTATACCCAAATATAAAAAGTTTTTATTCCGTATATTTTTTAATAATAAATTTCTTAATTAAAATAATATAAATTAATAGATAGATGAGTAATGGTAATATATCAAATAACAAAACACACAAAAAAATATATATACACAAAACATTAGATACCTATATAGTGATGCCATAAACATTAATCGTGATAATTCACCAGTTTCTTTAACATTAGGCACAGACACGTGATAATTATTGTTTTTAAATTTTCATAACATTATTTTTTTATCAGATGTTTTGAGTTATATACCGTGCATCTATAAAAAATGGGTTTTAACTTTTAATGTATTAATAAAATTTGACATAAAAAATATATCTAATAAATAGTTTTTTAGATAAATATTAGTTATTAATTAAAAATATAAGATGAGATGGATATTATTGTATTACTAATTTTTCATTAAAAATATATCAAAGTAAGGGTTTTCTAGGTATTTCATATTTTTACAAAAACACTCGTCCTTTTACTACTTAGAGTAGTAAATAAATAAAATAAAATATGTCAAAGTAAGAGTTTTTTAGGTAGTTCATATTTTTACAAAAACACTCGTCCTTTTAAAGTAGTATAGATTATGCAGTTCACGGGACTCGAAATCGGTTTCGCAGAGAGTGTGGCATTATTTGGTGCTGGCAGGGTGCTTTCGCGGTTTGCAAAATCAGTTTCGCTGAGAATGTGTGACATTATTTGGTGTTGGCAGGGTGTGTTTGCCAGTCGCGAAATCAGTTTCGCAGCGAGTGTCCGCATCATGGCAATGCATTGGAATGATCTCTTTCTCTCGGCAGCTTGGATGGCTCGATAAAATGGCTCGGACATTGTCCGGACGGCTCGGAAATGTCTCAAAAATGACTCGTCTTCTCAAACTCGAATAATGTGGACCTAAACAACACAAAAAATAAAAGAAAAGTACGGCAAAACACAAAAATACATGAAGGGAATAAAAACGCATAAAATACGATAAAATGGTCCGATCGACACTAAAGCGAACCTAAAAACGACTCGATTAAAGACACATAAAACACAATAAAACACCACAACAAAAAAAAATTAACAAACACTGATGTATTACTTGAAGTGAATAATTATTTCACTCGTATATATACACATTATTATACAAATGCCCTTTCACTATATTACCTCATCATCATTATATATAATTATATATCTGTCCTCTATATAAAGGCAAAGCAAAAACTTTTCCTTCTTACTGGGCAAAGGTTCTCATCAGGCACACCACATCTGGAGGTGCGCTTCCTTCTTAATATATCTTCAATATTCTTCAGATAAACAATCTCACAAACAAATAAAAAAAAAAAAATTATTTTTCTTATAATAATGTCAGCTTGTTTTCATTTTTTTTTTTTTTTTTTCACAGGAAATTAAGGCGGATAAAATCAACAGTATGAATTCCTCTGTAATTTCAAGGATGTCTCCACTGGTATCTTTCCTTTTCTAACATATTTTCCGGTGACATTACGTGCATTAGCTCTAACTAGTTTGTGTTTATTAATTATTACATCTCAAAAATTAACATTATGATTTAATTTATTTATTTATTTTTTTAAAAATAATGTATCTGCAATCATCAGGTAATGCATAATCCTATCTTCACCGGTCCATGCGAAAATTTATCGATCGATGACGACTTTGTAGCCTTACTCGGGCAAGATTTTGGCAACTATTTGCTCTCTCCAAGAACCAACTCCTCATCATGTTCATCAGCTTTGATTGATAACATCACTCCAAGCAACAACATGAACTCGAACAACACTTTCTACACTTCCTTTAGTCTCGAACAACATAAGATGTTACGGCAAGCGCCAGACAGTTACTCCGGCTTCCCAAACATGATAAATCAGGGATGCATGATTAATTATCCTGCAGACCACAATCCTTCACAAAATATCCAGCAGCTCCAGGTGAGTGCCCTCCTCGACCACAAACAGGGTAAATTTGGATATTTAAATAAGGCTGCTTTACTTATTGTTTCCATGTAAAACAAAGTCACTTGAATCTATTAATTGTAGTTGTTAACAAAATGAATTCTAGTTAATTAAAGTTGTTTAGTAATTACAAAATACTAAAAATTTATAGAATCTATACACTTACTAAAAAAATATAGTAAATATTTTTATTTCCAGTTATTTAGTTTAAAATTTAATGTTAGCATTTATTTTTATCTCATTTTTCAGTTATTTATATATATTATATAACTAAAATAGTGTATAACCATAATGATTATTTTTAGTAATGATTTGTGGTTTTTTTTTTTTTTTTTGGTCTATTTTGTGTGCTTATTCAAAAATATGATGGTCTGCAAAGGTGCAATTGAATCTGGAAAAGGTTAGTGTAGGCCCTGATATTGTGATGGCACAAGGGTCAAGTTCTGAAGGTGATGTGGGAGTTAAGGCTGAGCCGACTAAGAAGAAAGGTCGAATTCGGGGGCCATCACAAAGCTACGACCACATCATAGCCGAGAGGAAGAGGCGCGAGCAGCTCAACCAGTTATTTGTAGCACTTTCGGCCCTTGTGCCCGGTCTAAAGAAGGTACTCTGTTTTCCCTAAAATATCATAATATCTCCTAATTACCACATAGATTTGGGTTCATTACCAAAAAATACAAATCATCAATGTATTAAAATGTTGGCCTTCAGGTATCGTTCCAACTGCTCAGTCAATATCCAGGGTGGATAGGGTATTGGTCTAGTTTGACCGTGTACCTTATTTTTTATTTTCTAAATGACTCACTTATGGTTGTTGTAATTGGGCAGTTTCTCAGGTGTTAACTCACCTTCAATTCACTCTAAAACAACCGAAACAGTTAGGTGGACAGGTGAAAGATCACACATACAGGTTCAATGTACCTGGATGTCTCATATAGGTTGGGTCAAAACTCGAGTCTAAACCCAAACCAGTTTACATTTTTTACCTTGGGCTTCAGAGTTGGAAATAATTTTGCAGTAAAAATATTATAGGAGTTGGGCATAAGGCCCAAGCCCAGTACCAAGCCCAGATCGGTCCAGATCAACCAAGGCCGCCCAAGTTCAGTCCACAGTCTAATTGTCAATTGTCAAGTATTAAGTACTAAGTACCAAGTACCACGTAACAAGTAACAAGGACAAAGGCCCAAGTACCAAGTCCTAATTCCCAAGTCCAAGGTCTAGGCCCGTGCTCATGCCCAAGCTGAAGCTGAGTCGGCTGGCCGGCCAGCAGGCGTGCGTGCGCATTTGGTTGAAGTCAAGGCCAACACTTGGTTCATAGCTTTGTTGTTGTAACTTCTCTAAATCTCTTATTATAATAAAGAGAGTTAATATAATTTGAAAGTCCAATGTAGAAAAGACTTTTGACCCTCGAATCCCATTACTATCGTTTATGTTCCCATTTATTGCTAAATTTAATAATTTATTTCTCACTCACCAGAAATCAGTTTTGAAAAAAATAAATATAGCACAAGTATCTACTCGGAACGTATAATTTTTCTTCAAAATCTAATTAAACCCAAATTGAATATCTAGCCATCGAAATTTCACTCAAAACCATCATAGTTTTGTAACTGAATTTTCCAACAATCCCCCACATGAGTAAAATTTGAATGTATGCATACTCTTGTATTCAATTCTCACAATACTCTATTGCATCTGAAAAGGTAACTTGTGGCTTTGAACATTTCTTAGTAAACATCATCGAAGGTATTGGCGGCTTAGTGGACACAGTGCCTTGAACTATTCATCCATAATGTACACCAAGACGATGACTTGCACACAATAGAGCCTTAACTTTATTACATTCTATTTTTGTGTTCGTTTTATACATGGACAACACTTTGGATTCATATGTGTTTACCTTTGAAGCAGTCCCCACTTGACACTTATATTGGTGACCTCCCTATCAAGAGTATTATGTATTACTCCACCTTTAAAAGGTTAGTTGACACTTATATTGGTGACCTCCCTATCAAGAGTATTATGTATTACTCCACCTTTAAAAGGTTAGGGATTCATTGAAAGTCCAAATGACTCACTCTCACCACAGTCAACACGTAATCTTGTACTTTGCTTTAGAGATTAGCTTTGGACATTCTTATTTCCCAAGTCTCAGCAAAATTTTCATACTTTAGTTTTCCTTCTGAATGAAGTTCATTGGATCTCCATGCAACAAGGTAAGGTTACGACTATGGTCGTTCTTTTCATTGTGGATTTTTAAACACATTTTCTCTAGAAGTATTCCTAATTGATCTCTATTCATTCCTTTAGTGAAATGATCAACCAAATTTTTCTTAGACCTTACATAGTTAATGAAAATGACACCATTATTTATTAATTGGCGAACATTATTATGTCTACGACGAATATGTCTAGACTTATTGTTATACATATTGCTTTGTATCGTTCCTATAGCATCTTGGCTATCACAGAGAATCATCACAAGAGGAAAATGTTTACTCCAGCATGGAATATCATATAAAAAGTTTCGAAGCCACTTAGATTCTTCACCACTTTATCCAAAGCGATGAACTCATGGTTGACCGAGCTATACAAGTTTGTTTTGTAGATTTCCAAGAAATTGCACCTCCTCCTATATAGAAAACATATCCGCTCATGGAGGCAAAATCTCTCGAATCTGATATCCAGCTTGCATCACAGTATCCTTCAAGTACAGCTGGGTATCTCGAATATTTTAGCTTGTATTCAAGGATGTAATTTAAGTACTTAAGTATCCTTTTCAAAGCATTCTAGTGCTCATGACTAGGATTGCTCGTAAATATACTCAATTTATTTATCGGATATGTAAAGTCTGGTCATGTACAATTCGGTAAGTACATCATATCAAACTGAGCTACTGGTTGACCATATTGACCACCATATTTAAACTAAGATCAAGGGGTGTCCTATACAACAGACCGTCAAAGACATTTTTTCTTGAGAACTTTCTCTATGTAGTGAGATTGTGACAAATCAATTCCATCTTGGGTTATGATAATCCTTATTAAAAAAATTACATTCATGTGGAGATTTCTCTTCAACATTCTTTTAGTATCCATGATCACTTACATTCTTTTGAATGGTAGGGACATGGACAGTGTTGATCGGTTGTTGCTACTGTTGTTGGGTTTGCTGAGTTAGCGAACCTTCTCCGGTGAATGCCATTAGTTAAGTAAGTGTAAGAATGTTTGTTATACGATTGTTACAGATTGAGTTTAGAATACAATGGGGAACCTATGAACTGAAGTTGAGTTTTTAGTTCCTACAATTTGAACTATAAAACAAAAACAAAATTACAACTTTAGTGCGGACAGATTAAAGCCTAGGCGATTGAAATCTTTCCGCAAGAAAAATAACCCCCGTGTTCTAATGGGTCTTTGCGTCTTATCCCCAAAGATACAACAACGGACTTCTCGAAGGCTGTAGCACACCAACTGGAACTCCAGCGTACTTCAACGGAGTCCAGAATTTGAGCAATACGCATATGCGTGAGGTCGTGAGAGTGCAAGGATTCAAATTATATGCTCTGTACTTTTGACACTCAGTACATGTCTTATTTATAGGATGTTTAGTAAAGATTTGGTGGGCAAGGGATAACCGAGTTACCCGACTTGGGTCGATCTTGAGGGAAGGATATTCGGAGCTTCACTTACTACTTGATTGTCCAAATCACAAAAACAGAAAATAAAGTCCTAAACATTCTAAACAATTAATTGGAGGTTGGATTATCACTAAACGAGCAACAAAAATCAATAGCAAAGAGCGAAACTAAACCATCGGAATCTCAAGTCATCAACACAACAGAATGGTAATAACCGAACAATGTCATGCTAGCTAAAACCCTAAAAAGCTAAATCAAACTCTAGCACAAGACGAGCAAGCATTCAACTCCTAATCACACTTAGTCAAGCATTCACGATCTAAAGATTCAATCTTTTTCTCCAAGCAACACAAGTATAATATCAATTTTCACAAAAAGCAAAGCTTAAGACTAAGTACCCACTCTCACACGCACTTGGGAAGAGAAATGGAGTCAAAAGCTCGAAACTTTACTCGAAACAATGTCGTCGGAAAACCTCCCGAAAAATGTCATGACTTCCTAGTCTAGAGAGAAAACATAAAAATAAGCTAAGTTCCCAAAAAGGAAAAATAAAATAATGAGAGTTGGATGCAAAATGCAAAGGAAGAAAAATATTTATACTCCCACTCAAAACACACACTAAAACACGCGGATTAAATGGGACACTCTCGAGCTCTCCACAAAATCCGCGAGCTCGCAGCAAGGGTCGGCACAGGCACGCGCGCGCGCGCGCGAGAAGGCATGGGCGCAAGGCTAGGATTCAGCACTCTCGATGTAGCAAGTGGATTCGAGTGCGCGGGCATGCGCGAGGTGCGGTGTTGGGCGCAGACAGGCGTAGGGTCGCGCACTCTCGATGTCGAGGTGGATTCCGCGTGCTCGCGAGTGAGGCAGGCCTCGCGGGCGTGCGGTATGCTGGGGCGCGGCGGACTCTCGAGCTCGCGAGAGCATCCACGAGCACGCGAGTGGGTAGGCGGGCGTGGTGCGTGCGCGAGCTTGTGGTCGTGCGGGCGCTCTCGACCTCGTCGGGCCTTCCGCGAGCTCGCGAGTCGTGCAGCGGGTATTGGCGGACTCTCGAGCTTCGACTAAGGCTAATGGTTTGACACGTCTCGAAATTGACTCGAGATTCTTCAGGAAGCTCGTCTCTCGGGATTCGGTTTGACTCGTCTCTTCATCCTCGGAATAACCTGATATTATACGAAAAGCACGGAAAAGTACACCAAAACACAAAATAAAAGAGAACATAAAAATACACAAAACGCGACAAAATGGACTGGTTGACACTAAAACGATACTAAAACCGACTCGATAAGACACATAATCACAAATAAAATAGACACAAAAATGCAACAAACAACTCCCCCACACTTAACTCTTTGTTTGTCCTCAAGCAAACAAAATAACGAATAGCTCAAAGAGAAAAATCGAGCAGTCCAAAATTAACGAGCATGCGAAATAAAACTCTCATTATCATCCGGTTATCCCTAAAATCAAAATTCAATCCGAGACACGGTCCCCACATAGTGAATCCATACAAAAAAAAACTCGTCCCAAGTCATTACACACATGATTACTCGAGTCAAACCTCCTTATTTACATATACGTGCAAAAACTATAAATGGTCTACAAAACATAAAATGATAAGCACGAGACCAATAAGCCCACTCCCCAATTTTCTTCTTTTTCTCTTTTTTTTTTATTATTTTTTATTAATGAGCCACTTTTTCCAAATGAGAGCCGTTAGGACGATTATTACCTAGGTTTAACCTCGGGGTTTGTCCCCGAGTCTCCTAGGCTGGTTTCTTCGTGCTCATTGACCCGATTTATCTAGAAGACTAACCGAGTCAAGAGGAGCCTACTCCTTTCAACTCTCACAAACTCATTTCGTGAGCTTCTCTTTCCAGACGAGTTTTTCGAACGAGATGATCTAGGTTTAACCTCGAGGGGTTTCCCCGAGTTTCCTACACCTATTTCTCGGGCTCATTATA